GAGCTGTAGTCACACCAAATCCCCGGCCCTTCTGACACGCATCAGCGTTTGTAGTGAACAAGACTATAGCTTGGAAATCCTCTGGTAGTTTGCGCGTAACACTGCGACTGGACTGCTGAACTGTGCTTTTTGATCAGTACTGTCACATTCTGCTCATCGCTGACACCTGCAGTGAGCAGATGGCCAGCTCATATTTGAGCCGTCAGATTAGGCAGCTTCATTTGATCCATGTTTCCGCCTTTCTCAAACAATTTTGCAAATGGTACGGAAAAAGTTTCTTCATAAAAAGTAATGGTTTAGCGATAACTCCTACGAAATATCTGAAGAGAGCGGCTTGCCAACTGGTACTCGCGTCCATATTCAGTTGAAAGCTGGAGACTCTGCTGACTACTCGAAAGCTGAGAAGGTGAAAGAGGTAGGATTTTCCGGCTTCTCCTCTTGTAATCTCGGCATGTTAACTGCGTATTTCACTCCTTCTGTGCCTTACGGAGTCACCGGTAAAATGTACTACATAATTCCTAAACTACTTGTAAATCTCTCGTGTGGCGGTATAAGGCCTCTGAAGGCGATGATTTAGTCAAAACGTTATGAGTTTTTTTAAATAAATGCCCACCTAATAACCTCGTAAGGCGCAGTAGAAGTGAAAGAATTGGACTTATTAGATCTAAAAACCAATGAGAATTACAATATGTATAGTTAGTATGTACTTTTATCTCCTTTATTCAGCGTTGGAGCTGAAGTCTATTCCTTGTGCAGATTCGATTTCCCGAAAAGTTTGACCGAATATTTTTCAGATAATCGATAAGTACTCCTATTTCGTGGCCGCCCCCATTCTGCTTAATGGTGAACGAGTGAATAGCTTGAATGCGATATGGACATTGCAACCAAAAGACGTCACCAAGGAGATGCACGAAACATTCTTCCAGTGCGTTTGTTGAAATTTCATGTGGTTTGTGTGGTCTTTGCCTGCTAGTTCCTTTGAGTGCATCCAGTTTTGATTTTCAGACAACTGGCAAAAACAGCAGAAGAAATCGGGGAGTACCTTCATAGGCGTGCTAATATCCATCCATTTATAAGGTGATGTTTTGTTGAATGTAGTGGTTACTTTTTTACTTGCTTACGGGTTTGACTTAGTTCAACAAGGTGCATCGGTTTTTTAGTGTACTTTGATCTGATTCCTTTTCCTTGCAGACCGACACACCAGTTTCATTGCGATCCGTGCTCTACATACCTCAGCACAAGTTTTCGTTGCTTGAGTACGCTGCACAGGCTCATAATAGGGACTGTGGCTTGTCTTTATATGCTAAGAGAGTGCTTATCAAGCCGAATGCCGGCGAACTCCTGCCAAAGTATGTTCACCTTTCAAACCATTTTTGATTCTTTGTTCGCTCTCCTTATTCATTGCGTTTTGATTGCATACGTTGTTTTTACGTATCTTGTCTATGGATGGGGTCGTTTTGCGGCCTGTAACTCCAAAGATAAGCTCACAGGATGTGTTGTTGTTATCACTATGATCAGTCGGGGCGTGTAAGCAACATCTTGGTTCTGGCGCGACGTCACTCCCTCTCCCGCCACTCACTGAGCTCCTCAAGCCGCAACGACTGAAGGAAAACAGGCCCACGCCTCGTCAAGATTGGCGCGACGCTGACCCCACTTCCGGCTGCGCTTGCCACATCGTTGTTCCTCGTTCGCGACTTTGTGGCTCTATTGTTGTATCCTTGATACGCGAGAGAGGAAAGTAGATGAGCTCTATTGGAAGGCTCATCGGAGCGAACGATGCACTGAATAAAGAAGTACCCCATTTCTGGGTTATGAGGCGCATTTTATGCATTTTCTAATCTTCCAGTTTTAAAGAATTATTGCTCAACATAGATCTCTCACTTAGACAGGAGCAAACAAATTGGCAAAAGAAGGGTTTCGAAAATAATCGCGCGTTCGAGGCGAAGATGCGCCATGTACGTGGAAGCGCTCTATACCCCAGAAATTGGGATAATCGGGGTTCTTACATACATACATAAAAGAAAATAGATATCGGTGATCATAATGTGACCATGTGACCAAGGCTCGAAGCATCCCCTACAGGATATGTTTGTTCTTACGGGTGCGGGACCAATGCAAAAATGCAGGAGTTTCGCAGTAAAAGTTATGTGTATTTCAGTTATCTGCACTTTATAATGGGCGTGGTTGACTCGGAAGACATCCCACTGAATCTGAGCAGAGAGATGCTCCAAAATAACCCTGTTCTGAGGTTAGTCCTATCGTGTTGTATTACAGTCCTGTTCCCTTTTGTCTTTGCAATCGCAACTCCTTCGCCTTAAACGCTTCTTTTTCCAGGAAGTTGAAGAAGATTCTCACCGACAAAATACTGGCTTTTCTGCATAATGAGATGAAGAAAGATCACGAGAAATACGAAGAGTTTTATAAGCACTATAATATTTATTTCAAAGAAGGCATTGTTACGGAGATGGAGCACGGACAGAAGGTTGGCTAATTGCTCTTCTTGTAAAAATTTTCCTCATTTATAATGTTTCTAGCGGCGCTGTTCAGCTTAAAAGGCGTGGGAGTAGGGCTCGTTCCCACTTTTGTTAGTTATTTTTTTTCAGTGGTTCCTTTGAAACAATCTTGTCAAGTGTGAGCGAAGCTACAGCCATTGCTTAGCTTCACAAGGGCTTACAGGTCTACACAGGGAGCATATTCAATGAGCAATGGGAATCTGGATCACCAAGCCGAACTGCCCCTCCCTGACTACCCTTCTCAGAAAAGCTGGCAGCTTCATTGGCTTTATGACGCATTATGACAGAGAAACGTGTTTGACCAATAGGGGATAGGCAGCTGCTCCACCTCACATCCTGCCTCTCGCGTAAGCAGCCAATCAGAGAGGAGCAGCGTGCAAGGTCCTGTTGTCTTTGGTGTCTTTCGTCTGCGTGAGAGAATGATGTATTTTGCGCGTTGAAGCTTCCCCTTTTCTGAATATATGTAAAACATTTTTCATCAGTTCACACTTCCTATAGCTGCTTTCAGGAGGAAATTGCAAAACTTTTGCTCTTTGAGTCTTCTAACCTGAAACCAGGTGTGCTGACTAATCTCACCGAATACTGTAAACGAATGCAAGAAGATCAAAAAGAGATATTCTACATGT